TCTCTCTCGCCATTTCGCTATCATAGGGAAATCCCCAAACATTATACGTATATATAGGAAATTACTTTAATGGCAGCTAAATATTATAATATGTGTTATTGGTGGCTAAGTAATATCTCACACTTGGGTACACGGTACGTATCCGATAAAATCGTCCTATGTTTTCGCGACCGGTATCTAAGGCTACAAAAAACTTCTGATCTTGTACCCGAGACTGAGCATACATTATTAGAGTTAGTTATTTGTGAAAATATGTATCATCTATGTGATTTAATATAATAAATCATTCATATATTCTTATAGCATAATTAAAAATAACAAGCGACTTTTCATGGTAAAATTATGAGTAGCGTCTACACAGTCACCTTTTAGGAACAATTAAAATAAATGTTTGTATAGGCTGTGTACGACATTAATGCAAACAGCTACTGAAAATAACCACACGACACAATGGAGATACAAATGCTCCTTTATCACAATATATGCATCTTTGGTTGGTGAATGGAGTTGAGTTGTTTTCCAGGTCAAGCAAAGGTCAGGATCGCGTTATGAATAGTTTGAGCTCTATTTTTGTTGTTAATTTATATTCTTTGTTGATTTAAAGGTGTGATAATATAAAAGTGGTGATAGTAAATAAGTATTACAATTTAATTATGCATTTAGGGTATATATTTTTTATAAAAAGAACTTTTAGAAATCTTGAACACACGAAGTCTTCGTACTTCTTGTTACATTACACAAAATAAATTCTGACTTCATCGTGTTGGTATGGAAATATATTGACTTGTAGTTCTTGCCTTGAATGGGGCATATTGTAGCGAACACATGCTCAAGCTAATTGTCTTAATGTACTGTAATCATTATACTTAATAAGTGTTAAACGCTTGTAATCAGTTATACCTACCTAGCCTACATGTTAACAACTTTCTTGTAACTTTAATGTAACCAAGATAGTACCTAATTATCAGTAAGTTACCATTATTCTACATATTCGTAATAAACCGACATAGCTACAGAAACAATGTGTTATGTTTATGTACAATGAAAAATATTTTTAACTATCAATGTAAACAATAATAAGTGTTCAAATTTGTGTTTCTTTTTTCAGATTAAATACAATATTCTTAATTAGTACAAATCATTATAAAACATAATTTAGTTCAAAGGGCTTCTAGACAGGCAATATTTTTCTGCTTTATCATAATATGACTGCAATGTAAAAATCGGCAGATATATATTGCGGAACAGGGGCGAGCAGCTAGCTCGCCCCTGCTCCGCACGGGTATCCAACAATTTCCCCCTCTACTTTTCTAGAATTATCTTTCATAAAAACCTTCTCCCGACAGAAACAAACTCGACAAAAAAGGAATTAGCAAAATTGGTCCAGGCTTTTTTGAGTTATGTGCTTACTAACATATTTTGCAATTTATTTTTATACTATAGATTACAACTGTTTATTCGAACAGTGATATTTAATAATTAAAACATACTTGGAATAGCCATTGTATTGGTAAAATGAGCATAAATGGAACGAAATATTGCAGAAAAATAGTACCCATATATACTCACATCACAATATAACTCTTATTCAATTGATGTCTATAAAATTATATATCTACATAGTCATAATAATTCTTCAGTGGTTGTGGCACTGCAACCACAAACAGAACCATGATTGAATAAATACCAACTCGTACCAATAGATGGCGCTACCGCGTCAAACGTAACTAACTAAAATGCCGGCAAGATGTCGCATGTGACATTGATCGTATGATAATAGGTAATTTTATAACTATTCGGAGACCGTATATAATAAAGGTTCCAAAATCGATATTGTATAATCTGTCTTTTGAAAATATTGATGTCAATAAATATTTGAAATAATTTGGTGTTGTTTTTGTGAAAATCTTATTCCTAAAATACCACTGTCCGCTTGTCTCAATATTTATTTGTCTGTCTATTTCTTTATCATGAATCCGATAGATAGATAGTTGAGACGACATTGTCAGATTTAGTATGGGTTTTAATTAACCTAACCAACCACTAACCTTACTAAGACGCCCTAGTAAACCTCTAAACGAAATCCGAACTGAGTGATATATATTAAGTATAATGCTTTATTTTATTTATTCAATTTACCCATTAGATATTTTGTCATTTAACATTATAACAAAGTCGCGTCGTTCGCGCCTTTTGCTTTATAAATAACAATAGTAGATGAAATCCAAAGAAACTATATTTTCGCAACTTCAGCCAATTTCAAGCTGCCTTAGTTCAGTTCGGACTGAATCTAAAGGACCTTTAACTCTTTTTTGAGGGGAGAAAATCATCAAATATACCTATCCCTTCCTGGGCGAGAGACAGTGTCGCACTTTTACTGACTAAAAATTACCCAGTTCCTTCACCTGCTCTGGGCCGCGATGTTAGTACACTATTGCACCCACAATCCCAACTGGGATATTAGAGTTGTTACCTGCCATTGTAAGTTCCAGTTATTGTACATTTTATTATGAAATAAGAAACATAGGTAGTCGACGGTTGCCCAAAAAAAAAAATATACATTCTGTTGCAGTTTTTACAAGATTGGCACTAAAAACAAAATAAAATACTAATACATAATATTTAAAGTTGTTTCTTTTCCAAAATGTCGTTGTCTAGCTTTTATTTGCTGCAACACGCTACAGTAAAGTCCGTGCTCCACCTCCTCCTATCTACTTATTTAACCCAAGTTCCGAGGAGTCGGCTCAATACGTCTAAATAATAACATCTTTAGTGTTGGAGAGACATGCTTCGACACGAATGAATTAGCTCGACCGTAGTAATACCACCTCACAGAAAACCGGCGTGAAACAACCAGCGTTAGTGAGGTTACCGGAGGCCCAATGCCTCAATTACGAGAGACAAAACGGGGCTTTATAGACAGAAAGAGTCTGAAATTCGCCTCAGCCTGTGCGAGAGAAGGTACCTACTAAAATTAGGAAGAAGTGAGAATGAGGTGACAGAAGGTTCTATCCGCCCTTTTCTCCCTCTCCTCTTCCATCCTCAATCCCCAAATCCCCTAACCGTAAAACCCTAATAATCCACAAAAGGTCGGCAACGCGCTGGTTTCCTTAAGCAGATAGATAATAAGAATTTAGCGCTGCCCTTGGACACTCGTAATTCCATAGGAGATTCTTATGTTGTTAATGTTGTTATTATCCATCAGTTCATAGATAATCAGTCTCCTCATGAAAAAAACGACTACTAAGTGTGGAAGAACCATGCTAAGTGTGGGAGAGCCATGCTTCGGCACGAATGGGTCGGCTCGACCGGAGTGATACCACGGCCTCACAGAAAACTGGCGTGAAACAACCACAACGTTGTGTTTCGCTAGGCTAGGCCCAATCCTTCCCCTACCCCAATCCCTAAATCCCCAAAATCTCAATCCTTAAAAGGTCGGCAACGCACTCGTAACTCCTTCTTTGTTGCGGGTGTCCATGGGCGACGCCGATTGCTTACCATCAGGTAATCTGCCTGCTCGTTTGCCGTCCTATCACATAAAAAAAAACTAATTTCGTTCGTGGTTATATACTTACTAACTTAAAAAAAAAGTGGTGTGTCCAAACAGTTTTGGTTTTAGTATTACGTTGTCTATGGTCAAGTAGCATTTAGCTACAGACCTACAAGCTAGCTACTGGCCTCGCGCAAACGATATCGTCATGTTCAGTCTCAAAGTATGTTTAAGATAATTTTTATCAAAATCGTACGACCTGTAAAAGAATTTGCTATCAGATTAATTGCCACTTATTCTTCCACTAAACCTAGCTTGTAGGTAGAAGACATAAAAATACCTACACTAAGAATAAACTTTTACAATTCGTACTTATCGTGTATATGTAGGTGTTACTCCTTTAAAGATCTATTAATTCTGAAAGATACGAGTTCGAAATCAGAATGCGGAGTACGGAAAAATGTTCAATGACAAAATTGTAGATTGGTAATATAGAGTCGAAAAGATTTACTACTTTTGTGTTCACACTCCGGAAAAAACACTTAAACTATCCGATTATAAAATACGGTATAAAGCATCAATAAGTATCTATGTAATGAAGATTAAATACAACGAGAGCCACTCCAACCAAACTTTCAACAAGTGCAAGTTCGTAAAGTTGCTAACCAAATCTACGAATGGGTTTGGATTTTCATCAGCAGTCACAGTGATGTGGACTTCTCGAACACACCGCAACTTCGTTACTGCATCCGTCCATGAGTCTAAACTGTAACACCATAATACATTAGAATCTTGTTAACGACTGGATCTAGAAAGTTCTCTGTGGCTTAAACTACTCTATAGATTAATGTATTCTGGTGCTTGGACTAGGGTTTAGTGCTTATTCTATACCTACTCCTAGTTTCAAGTGGGGTGCTGAGCTGCTCATAGTAACGAGTTTTCAGTATAAGAATTTGTGCCAAGAGAAAATCATGGAAATCGATGAAGTATTTTAATAACTTCCTACTAGGTCTGAAACGTAATCATTTTATCTTCGGTTTTGCCGGTTTCCTTAATGTTTTTAAGTTTTGTTTCTCAAAAATTAAAAAGCAATATGATACTATATGTTATAGTATTGTAGTTAGTTACCCGCCAGTCTAAAGGAAAGAAATTTCTCAATAAGCGACCGGAGACTGATTTCCACTTCGCCTAGCAGCAATATTTTTTTTCTACGTCTTATATCTCGACCCATTCCACTTAAGCTGACTTTTAATTAAATATTATAGTTCCACCTCTTTTTACTTTTAACCTTTTTCTTGTAACCTTTTTGAGAAAATGCATGGCCGTCGGGTTAAAAAGCTAAAATGATTTTTGTTCGAATTTTATATTGACGTCAATAAGATTTGTATAATACAAATGAAGACAAAAGAAAACCGACTAGCCGTTGGTGTTGGACGTGACTGTCGTAATATTGCGACTTGTGATCGGATTCGTAAATAAATTCCCTAGAAGACCAATTACAACAAGAAAAATGAGTGAGCCATTGAAGTCCGTTTCTGCCATGAACAAATTGTACATAGGAAACTTGCCAATAGACGCCGATGAAGCTGCAATAAGACAATTGTTCGCTGAGCAAAATCTGACTGTAGCCGATATCTCTGTGAAGAGAGGTGGATATGCCTTTGTCGACTTCCCTGATCAATCAGCTGCTGATCGGGCCATAGATAAGCTGCATGGTAATTATTTACTAGCTTACCTTACCAAAGTTCATTTGTCATAACTCTGATCATTTTAAGGGTTGTTTATTGGCAACAGCCTATTTTACTACCTTTTATATAACTTGTCATGAACTTAGAATATTAATGTAAGTAAATGTATAGGTCACTGTTGAGTAAAATTTTACAACTTAATTTTAAAGCAGGTAGGTATCTATCTTATCAATTGAACTGAAATTTTTGTTTGCTTGACTTAAAAAGCTGTATAATTTCACTATATCCATATAATCCATAAATATACCTTTTAAAGTTTGTTTTAATATTTTTTATTTCAATTTTAAAATATATAGCTAGGTAGACAACATTGCTGAAGTATCTTTAGGCACCTGTTTGCTTGTTAGATATGTTATTGTAAAACATTTTTATACTTGCAACTCTTGCAAGCTTACTTATATACCTTATTATTTTAGTTTTTATTTCAAATAAATTATGCTGTGTTTCAGGTTACTCGTATTGTGGTGTGCAACTGGTCGTGGAACCTTCGATGGCTAATAAAAAAATGTAAGTAGATCACTTGCCACCTCCTTGTAACATTAGATCTAGGTACCTACTTACACATTACCTAACCCAACCGATAATCTATTTTCCAAAACAAGCAAGTGAAATCTACTGGAAGGGGAGTAACTTTCTCGAATGATCTTTCCCCCGTAAAGTTGCACTATTGTTTACATGACACTGGACTCCCGACGCATTGTTCACTCGGGAACAATGTGGTTAATAATTCGAGACGCAACTTTCTAATATTTTCTAGATGCGTACCTATAGGAAGATTTTTTGAAATCCCTCACCTTAAGAAGTTGGTAGTAGTAGGTTAGTAGGTAAAAAGTTGAGAATGATACATTTTAAATGACTGCTAGGTAAGTAATTTAAATAAAAATTCTGGACTTCATTCTTGCGGAATGAGAATGCCTGTTTAAAATCCTTTTTACATGTAACTTTATTAATCTATGTTGCTATTTGGTAATATGTTTATTATCTTTAGAATGTTTAATTATAAGCTCATTGATCAATACTTAATGGATAGTTGTCGGGAGCAAGGTTGCCAGGTCGCCACACCATGTTGAATGAGCAGATAGTTTCGACTAACATTTGAATAAAAAGACCGACACCGCGGGCATCGCCCAAATTTTATAATGAAAAGTGTATGTCGCTCGGGAAAGAAAAATCGCGTTCCGTGCAAGAGTCGAAATCTAATAAAAAGCCGGAAAATCAGCAATTTAATAGGTAATGCAAAAAAAACAACCTACATAATATGTCCGGCTTTTTCAGGGCATCATGGCGCGCTATTGCCGTTACAATCGGTTGAAAGTTAAAACAAATAACTTCTGAAACCACTTGTTGATTGATATTTATTTTTAATTATGAATGGAAGTGGCGTCTAGTTCTCTCAATAATCTTGCATTTCAGAGTCAACATACCCAATCTTCACAGCGCGAGTACCACTCAGCTGAAGGAAGGCAATAATGACGTTCTCTCCGGCGGTTGGAGGTAAGTGAGCTTTAATATTTCTACGCTAAAATCCATTACAGGTCGTAGAAAAAAACTACAATGTCTGTTTTCCGATGTTACAAGGGGGTAGCCCTGTACCGGTTTGCGAGAAGCGAGGACATTAGGGTGTTCTCTACTTGTTTTGGTGATGTCGTGAATTTGCGATATTTATCTAAGTCCACTACATACTTAAGTAGCCAGAACTTTATAAGCCACTTAATATTAATTCAAATACTTGCTTTTTTACGACGTAAAATCTTTAAACCTATAAATTACAAGTACCTACATAATAATACCTGTTCAATACTTTTATAGTAAAGGACTTCATAGAGTAGGTAATTTATTATTTTCTGAATATCCAATGTGATTTAGGATTACATTTTGCCACTCATGCACTTAACCGCGTTGCACCTGTAACACTGAATTAGAAAAAAAATCATTTTGTTGCAAACAAACAAGCACTAGAAATAAAGTTGATTTTATATTCCCGATAGTTACGTAATGTATCTGTTGACTTGAGAAGTGCACTACACCATCGTAATACCTACGTTATTGGTACTTGAACGTAAACATATTGCTAGCAATAAATGGAATGTTATTGCATTTAGAAGTGAATGTTGAATTGTTGACTGAATGAAAATGTCATGATAAAGAAGTAAGCAAAGGATTAAATGAAACAAACACCATTCTTACTAGTCATTTTCTTACTAATCGTTTGTATAAGTATCGAAGTCCGAGTTTAGACTGTTAAGCCGATATATCAGTATCACCCTACATTGTTTTGTTTGGTAGCTAAAGCCTGTCTCACAATTGGGTGCCACCATAATGATATAAACAGTATTACACTGATTATCAGTTTCAAAACTGTTATGTATCTATGGCGATATAGTTGCTCATTGGTGTCTTATAGCCGATTAATGGGAGCGCCGCGCCCCTGCGGCGTTTTAATAAACAAGTGATATTCACCTAAGTTGTGACAGAATAGAGGATAGTAGAAGTCACAAGTGGTACCACGGGCTCATAGAAAATCGTCAGCGTTTACCTTGTATTCCACCCTATGAGATTGTCGGAGGCCTATCCTACCTAAAATGTCGCCATCCAGTCGTATCGCAATTGTTTTGCCGTTATCCATGGGCAGCGTCGATAGCTTACCATCCGGTGTTTATAAGCTCTTTGCGACCATCCTATCCCATAAAAATATGGATAAGGTTGTCGATGACACCCTTAAAAAATAAGCTACAGACATGAACGGCATCATATGTAAAGACGCTGGAAGATAAAGTAAACAATAAAACTACATTATTTTGGACTGACTACACATTACGTATAGATTTACCGAAAAAATGCATCGTAACAACTGATGACGTACATGAACACATATCTATCTAGTCACATTTTCACAAGGGCAGACATTGTTCTGCAACTCTATCGCTCGTCACAGCATACGTGGTCAGGTACCTACACGTGTCCCAAGCAACGTCGCCCGACGTCGCGTGGGACATTCACGCACGACGTTATAACATTGCGCGACACGTAAAGGTTCCGCTAAAGAGACTACTCGTATACTCTTTGACGACTGGCAAATGTGAACAAGAGGAATATCGAGCTACATGCTACATTGTCCTACATAGTTGCATAGAAACACCACTTGGAGGTTGGGCGATATATTTGCGTTGCGACATGTCTATCGAAAATGCTTTGGCTTAGTGGTCAAAAAACCCTTTCGAAAGAACTATTAGATATGAGCAGAACGATAACTTATTTAATTATTTATTACTGGGTTGTAGAATTATCCTTAATTAGATACGAAGTACTTCAGCTTTCATATTGATAATTCATACCAGAAGGTATGGGAGCTAACAGGTGCTCTGTGTATTTAAGCAGCTGGTCTCGGTCAGCCCACCGATTTAGAACTTCTCGATAAAGAATTAAATACATCGATTTTGTCTTATTCTGTGAGAGCTTATTTTGAATTTATCTTTTGGACATGTCCTAGTTAGGATTACTTGGGTTACCTGAATAAAATATTACTTTCAGTACTTCAGTAGGTATTTAAGCGGTGAAATTAGCAAGGTTCTCAATCTTACATGGAATTGGGTTTTAGACGCTAGGTCAAAATTTTAACATTGCGAGCTGAAAAATGTCTCATTACGGAAACTGAGATGTTAGTCCTCTAAAGAATATAATCAGATTCCCGCATGTGACTTGGTCATCCAACAAGTCCAGTCGATGTGACCTATTACTGTAGGTACTGTCACCTACAGAGATCAATGAGCGCATCATGAGCCATCGAGAAATCACGATGCGCTCACTGATACTGTTCGTGGGTGACGAATCACTCATTTCGAAATGACATAAGCTAAAAGAAACAGTCACTAGTGAGCAGACTATCATAGTAATGCACAGGTCGGCTGTAAATATTTGTCAGCCTATTGTCACGTCATCGCAGTGAGCGCACTCTGTCTTCATTACGGTCAACTTTGGGATAAAATATCGCTACCAGCAGCGAGGCTACATAACTAGTAGGTACGAAGTAATATTGTAACATTAAGCATCAAGGTTATAATATTTCGTTTAACTAAAACATCCCTCAAGGAATTAATTTATATCCACGTGCTGTTTAACCTCTACAAAAATATTGTTTTATAGAATGTTAAGCGATTATAACTTTCTCACAGGCTCACATTCGCAAATATGTGTGTTTTATTATATCGTCCTGTTCATTTGCAAACTTACAAGTATCAAATTCTAAGCAAATGTTGCTCGCCCTTTTTCACGCGCCTCTTCTCAGCACTCCCCTATAAAATTCGTTAAACTTCAAAGAACAAGCAACCAGTTCTGTATGAACGTTAGCGTTATATAATATCCTATTTTAATATAATTCTATTGGAGTAAGCATAGCGTTTTATGTCTGAACCGGTCAAAACTCGACGGATTTAAGTGATTTGTTTTTTTCTTAGCCGGGCCGCCCTTAGTTTGAAAGACATAACCGTCATTCTATAAAAACATGGCCTCGCTTTTGGTTCGGTAGAAACATGTTCGTCTATTTAACTTGTTAAACGTGGAGGTAGTTGGGTTTCTTTGTTTGGATCCTCCGAGTAACACGAGCTGATGGACACACCCACGCTTGCGTTGTTTCCAGGCACATATTGTCAGGCTTAGACCTTCTGCCGACATTTGAGCAGTTATTTTTATCCCGGTAACAACAAACAAGTTCGAAACGATGGTAGGTATTTACCTATACCTACTATTCACTCGATAAAACAAGCAATTATTTAAAAACTATCTATGGGTCGGGGAAATCTATGCAATATTTAGACCATTGAAATGTTAAAAGGGGTAGGTACCTACCACTACCAAGTTATTCATAACGGAGTTGAAGCTAATTTTACATTTCCATTGGTTTTTGAGTGGCGTGCTCAACGTTTTCGACTTTTTAAAGGTTCTCCCTACAATTTTGACCTAGAAGTTTTGGCTTATGTTATGGCTACTTAAATCATTTTGAAGATATTGTTGTTTTTTGTGAGATGGTTGGTACTAGTCTTACAGTTAAGATCTTACCTATAAGTTTTAATTCAATTTTAACGCCAGGTCTAACCTATAATACGTATCACTGGTAATCTAAATTACCCAAAAAATGTTTTAACGCAATGTTTATTTGTAAACCGCAATAAATAACTTGGTAAAATAATTCTATACGGAATCGTGTTGTAGTGTATAATAAGAAGCGGGCTTCTGTGTCGGCTCGGCACGCATGGGGTAGTAGAATTGTCGCCCTTATCTCAATACGTGATCGGCAATCTTAGTGAAAGTGGGCTTTTTATTGCGCCGAGTTTGAATCAATCAAATGATATGTAAAGAGGCAAGGAAGGCAACCGGTATAAAAGCTCGAGTACCTACCCACAATACATTCCAGAGCTACTGCTTATCACTTGATATAGGGCTTTGTGCTCGATTGTGATTTTATGGCTTTCACTGCACAAATGCACGTGCCAGACTCAAAAAATGATTTCTGTGACATAATTTAATGTCAGCTATGTTAAAGTAAGTTATTGTAAGTGCAGCGTAATCGGCACTCGGCCCACTGCCCGTATTGTTCTGTCGAAGCTTTACTATGCGTAGCTGTAGGTAGGTAACCCTAGCTTGGCCGCGGAGGTAGGAAACGTTCAACAAGTAGTGTTCACTTTATGAGCGATAGTCCCAATGATTACATGGAGAAATGAACAAGTTAGTTTTGCTGGATACAATACAGACTTTGATAGCCCTTCGATCTTCGAATATAACAGCACGTAAGTGCACTTAGCATAACTGTGTAGGTATGTATGATGATCTAGGTATATGGGTTAGTGTTCTGTTCTAAGTTGGCATGAAGCAGGCGAGGGAACGAAAACAATGAAAGTGACAGGGTAGCGAAGGAAAAAGCGGAAAAAGTGTAGGTGTAGGACGTAGGTAGACCGGCGCGGCGCGGCACGTGTCCGCCGGGTGTGACCCTCCGAGGAGCGCCCACGTGCCTCCGCGCGGATCGATAAACATTCGCGCACGCGCCGCGTCTCCCGCCATTCAGCCGCCAACCGGCCAGGACCTACCGAAACGTCCCCTGAAATACAGCCTCCATAAATTAAGCACATTTCTAGAGAAACGCACAACTCTGAAATAATTACTGAACCAACATGTTATCCGAGAATGGTGGTTTTTAATAATTTCATAGCTACTACTATCTATTCCTTTGAAGTTGCTTGTGTTGTACAACTTAGAGCCTGCAATGTGATTCCCAGGCCCCGAGTACTTAGCTCACATGGCAACGACGTTAACGTTAGAAAAATAGACGCTAACCCCAGGCGACGACGTTAAGATGTTTTATGAAAAAATTGAGATAAGTAAATGGGGCTTGTTAGTTCATCAGACTCTATTATTCATCGAAACGGGACTAGTTTTTGTAATAACGGCTAGTAATTGGCTTCTGATCTTTATACAAATGTTGAAGGTCGTCCCTACTATAGAACCTATAGAAGGTATAGAACCTATGTAGATTAGGTACTATACCTATG